ATGTTGATCAGACGTATGGTGGAGGTGCTACTCATATAGATGCATTTTCAAGGCGAGTGAGGTTTAAAAAATACTAAAAACATCTGGAACAACCACAGTGGGGTCCATATTTTTATGTTTACATTTAAGTCTCACATGCCGGGGCTAAAACTTCTTCATTATTGTAAATAATAAAAATTACGGCTAACATTCCTGAACACTTACTAGGTGCCAGGCCCATCCCTAAGTGTTCATATATGTTAACTCATTTAATGCTTGCAACATATACTTGAGGTAAGTACTATTGTTATTACCATTTTGCAGATGAAGATACTGAGGGACAGAGAGGTTGAGGATTTATTTATCTCTGCATTTTACCAGTGCCATACATACCACACACCTAATATTTCCTGAATCAAATTTTGCATGCAGATTTATTAATATTTTCTAGCAGAAGTCATTTGCATTTTTTTTTTCAGTGAAAAGAACTTTCGAGAATCTGTTTAGAGGAAAAACATTTACAGCTGCCTTGTTACCCTTGCTTATATTTGTATGTGGTGTTTTGATTTCTGCAAGACCATAAGAATTAGTAATCACAAATAACATTTCAAATAACCTTTTAAGTACCATTTTAGGTAAGGATAGAAACATTACATGAGATTTTCAGTTCTGGAAATCAGTCTGACAAATGAATATAGATTGTTTTTAATAAATCATTTATATTTGGCTTAAAAAGCATTATTGTGGATTTTTTTCTCTAATGATTTGATTCCTAATCGTGTTTACCTCAGGACAATATCATAATTGCTTGTATTTTCCAAGCATACACCAGCTGATGAGAGGCAAGGAGGGACATTATTGGACAGTTCTGTAAATGCCAGTAGGCCAGTTTGGGGTTAATGGTGAATCTCTGACTCCTCCACGGAGTGGAAAATCTCTGTGGGAACATCCTTCAGTGGATTGCATGCCAGTGGTAAAATGCATGAAGCACAGAGGGGAAGCCAAGCAGCGAAAGAGGCAGCAGGAAAGACATAAACAGCAGAGAACATGGGGAATATAACACAGAGTAGCCATTAGAGGAGATTGGTCAGGGAGGCCAAATGAAGATGGTAGTAAATTTTTATCTTCCTCAATAGGCTATTTTGCAATGGTACTTTGTATATTAAATGATTTGCTGAAAATGCAGATACCACATTTTGATGTTGTGTCGGTTATAGAAAACTATAACGGGGGAAAATATTGTTCCCAAGGATAAGGTAATATCATTGTATGTTTATTTGCTATATTTTAAATTTTAAAGGGCCAGGCTCATGAAATGAATTATGCTTGGATTAAATGCTTTTCTAAATGCCAAAGTGATAATGGCCTATTTCTATTTCTTCCTCATTGTGCCTCAGTTTGATAATAGAAATCTGAACATGACTATAATCTCATCAGACTTGTTTCTTTAATAAAAGATGTTACTCAAAGGATTCATTCATGCATCAAACACTTATGGAGCAGTAACCATGGACATGTAAACAGTCTAGGAGGAGAGAGAAACAGTAAAAAACAATTATACAGATCACCCTAAAATTACAATCATTTCAAATGCCACAAAGAAAAAGAAAAATTAGGATGTTTCTCAGAATGTGGTATAGAAGGACCTGATCTAGACAGGTGTGTGTTGGGAGAGGAAGGAGGGTAGAGAGGAAGTCTCCCTGAGTAAGTTATACTTAAGGAGATGAAGAATAGTGAGGAGTTGGCAGAGTGAAGGCAGTGATGGGAAAAGTCACGTGCACATGATTGATCTTACTCTATTCTTTATAGTAACTGGTGTTGTGTCTATGAAGTTAGTACAAACGAAGCTTAGTTAACTATGTCTGGTGTGGCCAGGTGGAAGAATGCAATGGAAATATGAAAACATTACAAAACGACAATAGGGTACTGGATTGTCACAATGTTTGTCTTCTAAAATACCCTCTTGTATCCTGGCAAAAAAAGATGTGTGGTAGAATTATCGAAATAGAGGTGGATAGTTTGCCTACTTTTTGTCTTTGAAGCTGCCAGAAGATGGATGAAGAGTCTGTAAATTTGGAAGAGGCAGAAGATAGCAATGAGGTAATGCTGATTGCTCTCCTCATGGTGGTACAGTTACCACAAGCTAATGTGGACTTCTTGCTGGACAGACTGGGTAACGCATGAAATGCCTTCTAAGGATGTGGATATAAAAAACTCAGATGGCAGACATATAAAAACCCACTTCTAAAGACATTCTGAGGGGAATTCAGTGCTGCTCTCAGAGCAAGCGTTTTACATCTACTCAATTTAAAACTATGTGTTACGGATAATTTTAGATATTTATTTTTTATTTCAATATGAGGAAGAGGAAACTCAAATGACTTTTTCTGTGCTGATGCTGGATTCTGTATATAGCCTCAGAATGAGTCTGACATTAAAAGTAAAAATGAGTTAAATTCTCATGTCTTTTTTTTTTGGAAAAAAACATAACCCAAACCCCAAACTATGTGGGAGGAAGAGGCAGTGCTCTGTCTGGGAGATCTGAGGGGAAAACTTTCAGAATGCTCACAGCCCACATGATCACATGGTGTAAATTCTTGGGGAGGGAATTCTTTGGCAGCCTAACTATATAATTTTCCTCAGAGCAGAAGAGTTTATGTTAAAGTTTTAAAATCACAGTAAGATTTAAAGAATTGCTCTTTAATTAAGAAAATGGCTAGATATTTTCCTATAGTTTCCTTTCAGAAACTAGGTTTCTTAACAATTTAATGCAATGGTTGCAGTAATGACAGAAAAGCACAGACTCACCGCACACTCATTTAGGAACATGTGTGTTTGTTTAGGTGTGAACTCCAGTTGGGAATATGCATTAAATTATTCTATTTTCATGCAATTAGGTGGATTAAATGATCAAATCCCACAAGGATAGTTCTGTAAAAATCATGGCTAGATTGACAGTTCTCAAGTTCAGATATCTCCCCTTGAAATTGAAGTAACCAAATGTAATAGTTCCTCTGCCAACTCTTGATTATTAGTGTGTAAATTATGCATGAATGTTACATTGACTGCCATGGGTCAATAACAACACGTCGTCGGGGCCCAGATGGTTTGAGTTCTGCTGTGTGCCAGCTTGATGCTGAAGGAGATATGAAAAGTTTAATAATGGTCATAGTTAATGTTTATTGAGCATTCTCTATATGTCAGGCAATATTCTAAGTGCTTTCATGTTTTATCTCACTGACTCCTCAAGACAACTCTTTGAAATCTGTGTTATTCTTATCCCCATTTTACAAATTAGAAAAAAGGAACGTTGCAAAAATCGGCTGAAGCTTGTAATTGTGCTCAGGCTAGCAAACCACAGATGTGCTATGTGAGAAGGGAAAACACACTTTATGGGTTCTTTTATTTTCAAGACATACCTAATTAAAAAATTTAACCTAATTTGTCCCCATTCAAGGGTTTATTTTTTCATAGTGAAACAAAATTTAGTGCTATTAGAAACTAAATTTTATTGGTCAACACTTGTGGAGCAGTCCCAGGAGTTTACTTTGTTTTCTTGACTTGATGTTGTGAGTTTGTAGGAAAATAATACTTTTTGTTTTTCCTTTTCTTATCTCCCAAGGTGAGAAATCACAAATAGATTTTCAAAATTCCCTTATAGGTACATGGTATGCAGCAGCATGTCTCAGATGTATTCGGCAGTCAACTCCCTCTATCTTTTGGGGGAGAATTTTGTGCAGTAAATGTTTTCCAAAACACACTTTGATAAATGCTACTGTGTGTTTACTATAAGCATATTTTGCCACCTTTTGGTCTCCCAATCACTATAGTCTGCATATCATCTTTAAAGTTTTCATAATTTTGAATCCAATGGCCTCTTTTCAGATCATGACTTCCCTACAATTGACATTACAGACAATTTCTGACTCCTCTTGGAATGTTTTCCTTTCCTTTCTGGGTTTCCAGAATACCATTTCTTTCTGGTTTTCTTTCTGCTCCTTTGTCTTCTCTTCTCAGTTTTCTTTATTAACTTGTCTTTATCTAAATCTTAGATGTTAGTGTTCCCCAAGGTTCCATCCTTGACGGTCTTTCTTGTGTCTCAATGTTATATTCCAGTTCCTTCATTAAACTGCCACACTCATTCTTAATTTACGATAGCTTCCCTGATATCTTTAGAAATAATGAATTATTTTCATTTTCTCTGCCAAAGGCACTTTATTTTTCCCATAGTGAAATGCATACCATATTGCATATGTCTACCTTCTAACTAGCCTCTTTTGTCAAGATGTTATAGACTCTATTGCAGTTAATGCTAGTTATCAGAAAAAAAGTTTACATCTCACTCATGCAAGAATCTGCCGCAGATCTGGGCAACTCTCAAGGACAGCTGTTTGCTGGTCTGTTCAGTGACTCAGGGATCTAGGCAACTTCAAACTTGAGGCTCTACCTTCTCAATACAAGGACTGTTCTCATATTTCCATGGCAGAAGAAGTAGAAATTGAGTAGGGGCTTCTACTGCTTCAGTGTGGACTGACACAGACATGTGCTATTCACATTTCATTGAGCAGAACTAACGATAGGGTTTTATCTTTTGACAGTAAGGTTGAAAGTTTAGTTAGTTATCCATGTGCCCAGGAAAGAAATAACTTTTGTTGAAAAGCTTAACACAAGGATTGTATCATAAGTATCTCTATACCCCCAGTGCTTGGCACAGAGTTTAACAATAGATGTTCAATAAATGTTTGGTAAATTGTATCTAATCTAGTTCAAACTTGGGTCATTTTACTGATGGAAGAAGTGAAGCCCTTCAAAGAAAAGTGACTTTCCTCAAATTATTCAGATATTTACATGGCTAGAGCAAGAATCTAGGTCTTTTGCTCTTTTTACTATATTAGATATTCATGGAAGAGTTTGTTCTACAAGAATTGTATGATTTTGTTGGGTTGTGCATTATTTCCATTAAGGCTATGAGTTTTGTTTGTCGGAATGTTTGTTAACTTCCTTTGCATTTTTGCTTACAGAGTTAACAGAGATATGACATGAACATATATTAGAAAAATGATCCACACACAACAGAAAAAGTAAGTATAGATTATCAGCTTGTTGCCAGCAGCACCAATAATTTTTTTTGGTTACTAAATAGCCCACATAAGTTTGAGCAATATTGTCTCATTTACTAGTGGCATTTAGTTGCATAACAAATGCTTTTACTGATAGAAAATAAAAGAAGATTGAAGGAAACCACACAGTATTATCAATTATTACCCATTCTTACTTCTTCTTTCTTTACTGTAGTTTTTGGAATGGTAATTTAGTGTATTTGCTTAGCAATTTCGAGGCCTATTTTCCCATTTTATCTTTATTAGCTTTTTAGGTAGTAGGTAGGGATTCTCTTAGTGCTGTCTGCAGAAATATTGCAATCCTATGGCTACTATAATATCTTTTTTGGCAACCTTATTTTTTTCAATGCTTGATGGTCTTATTTGCTTTACACCTCAGGGTTCTCCTCAAAACTCCATTGAGGTTCTCTCTTAAGCTGTACCTCTATAGGTAATATTCCACTTGAACATATAAACTTTAATGCAATGTTTCTAAAATAAACTCATAATCTTCTTCCCTGCTCTCAAGCTTCCTCGAACAAATAAACAAACTGGCAGAGACTGTTACTTGTAGCATGTGGCTAATTTCTAGTCAGAGAATATGAACAGAACTTATGAGTATTTCTTCTATGTCTGGCCCATATCATTTTTCTGGTCAACGAACAAACAAACAAACAAGCCAAATACAACAATGAAGATTAAAAAAAAAAAAAAAAAAGAAAGAAAGAAAACCCTTCCTAGTTTCCACTTGGCTGGAGAAGACTGTGCCAAGCTTGGAAGCCATATTGTTGAAAGTGGCAGAGCATTTTATCGACTTGAGTTCTTCAGTGACTATGGAGAAGGAGCCCTATTACTCTACTAGACTGTTTGAAGAGCAAGCAATAAACTTATACCATGTTGAGTCATTGTTTGAGTCTATTGTTACCACAGAATACTTTGATATAGAAACCTCAGTTTCTGTATCTGTGAAATGGGAATAATAACTACCTTACTTTGAGAGCTAAATGAGATAATATAAACAAAGCACTTATTTTAATTCATGACTCATAAAAGAGATATGATAAATTTTAGTCTATTCCCTTCCTTCCTTCTTCATATAAATATGAGAAATACAATCCTTTTAATTCCCTTCAGAAACTTCTGAATCCACTACCAAATATAATCCTTTTAATTCCCTTTAGAAACTTCTGAATCCACTACCCCTCTTTCTTGACAGAGAGATAGTGGTTATGAGATTGAAACTCTGTACATCTCCCAATGCTGAATGTACACACAGACATGGATCCAAATCCACATTCTCTTCCCTTTCTCCTGTTCCAATACTATTCTTTCTGCTATTTAATATTAGCCAGTATTTATTAAGTGATTAGCATATACCAGGTAATATGCAAAGCTCTGCATGGATTGTACAATTAGATCTCATGATGTAGACATTGTTTCATATCCCCATATTTCAGATTAAAGAATTGGGAGGAGAAAAATTTAGCAGTTGACTCAAAAAGCAAGTAGATCTTCAAACTCTCTCATTCTATTTTCACCTTTTATCTTCATTTAAACGTGAACATATCCCTGCAATCTTGAGAAAAACGATTCCATGAAACTTGACTTCCTTCTTCCTTATCTTCACTTTCTGTCTCAACTTCCCGACCGTCACTCTTCAAGCCCTCTGCTCTCACCACTCCAATGAAATGCCTCTATTTTCTAGTAACACATCCACTGGAGGCTTCCTGGTTTGGATTATCATTCAACCTTTCTGAAATATTTAGTTCTGTACCACTCTCTCTTCCTCAAAACACTAGAGGAGAGTTCGTTACATGCCACACTACTTTTCTAGTCACTCTTTCTCAGTCTAACTTTAGGGACTCTTTCTTCTGACAGTTCCTTGAGTGCTAGTGTCCCTCAGGGTTCTATCCCTAAATTTTTTTTTTTTTAACATTAAATATTCTGCTTATAATATCTTTTACTCCTACAGTTTCAATTGCTATATATGCTACTCATTCCTAGTCTTTTGAAAATCTCATCTACACATCTCTTTTGAATTCCGTATTCATTTCATCAATTTCAAGTTGAGATTCTAAATTTAGATCCCACATAAGCACCTCACATTTAACATATATAAAACTGTACTTATAATTTCTCCCTCTAAAATCTTTCCTTCTAACATTTCTTCCTCTGAACTCCTCTGTCTCAGGAATTTGTCTATTTGTCCAAATTAGAAATTGCACATCATCTTGGGATCTGCTTTTTCATTCATCTGCTAAATGCAGTCAAGTTCTAAGTCTTGTTAATAATGCAAAATTTTATTTCCTAAATATACTTCCTAAATGTACGTGATAGGCTTTTTTAAAAATCATCATTTACTACCAATTGCCATTATTCATGCCTTCTGTGTATCAGAAGCTGATGCAATATTATTTGCCATTCTCAGAAAATAGCATGCCCTTTCATGCTTTGAGAAATGATGTTGTCTTTTTCTTCCTTTTCTGGTTGGAAAACTCTTTCAATAATCAGCTATGTTGTCATTACCAGTGTGAATCCTGGGAAGTTTCCTGAGGTCAAGCTGGCTGCTCACCTACCCTCCCTCCTATGCTACTATAGAGTGCCCTGCACTTGGCTCATTTCTTAATATTTATAAAAAGTTTCTAAGTCTTTGCCTGTTACTCTCCCCTTCTAGACTGTGGCAGCCTTGAGAAAGGAAAGGCTGTTTTTGTGACAGTGAATTAGATCCTTCCTAATTTAAAAATATATCTGCTAAAGAACCAGTTCACTGAATGGTCATTCACCAAATGATCAGATTCACCAAATTTATCAGTTTATCCCAAATAGTTGTAATAGGTAAAGTGATTAGGATGTTTAAATTTGGTCCCCAATGATGAAATATGATTTTCTGGATATTAACTTTTTAAGGTTAAACCCAACCTGAGAACCTGGCAAAAAAAATCTGTAAATGCTAAAGAATCAGTTTTATTTTTAAAATTTCTCAAGGCAAAAGCTGTTTTTCAGCTTTTTTTTTCTTTGAGGGGGTTATTTTATATGTAATGGGACTTCTTATCTACCTCAGATATAGTTTCAGTTATCTCTGAATGTCATTTCCTATTTTGGTAAACTTTATGTGTTTTCCTTATTCTTTTGCCACTTCCTCAAAGCAAACCAGCTTTCCTTTTATATCTCTAGTATTTATAGTTTAAGATTAAATTAAACTTTAATTAGGAGATTGAACTTTAAATTTAAATTCACAGGCACTAAAATAAATCAGAATTTCAGAATTTTAAATTAAAATTTAATGAAAGAAAAACTTTTAATTAAATAAAATTTAGAATTAAAATTTAAATTCATTCAAAAGAATCAGAATTAGCTTAAACCATCACATCTCACATGAAACTAAAAATGTGGGCCGGGCGCGGTGGCTCAAGCCTGTAATCCCAGCACTTTGGGAGGCCGAGACGTGCGGATCACGAGGTCAGGAGATCGAGACCATCCTGGCGAACACAGTGAAACCCTGTCTCTACTAAAAAATACAAAAAACTCGCCGGGCAAGGTGGCGGGCGCCTATAGTCCCAGCTACTCGGGAAGCTGAGGCAGGAGAATGGCGTGAACCCGGGAGGCGGAGCTTGCGGTGAGCCGAGATCGCGCCACTACACTCCAGCCTGGGTGACAGAGCGAGACTCTGTCTCAAAAAAAAAAAAAAAAAAAAAAGAAACTAAAAATGTGTTTTCTATCAAGGAACAATTAAGGTATCTTGACTTGGTTGGTAGTAATTTGCAAATGATTCTCTATGAAAGCACACACACAAAAAAGAAAAAAAAATGACCACAATGGACCAAATGAAAAAGATACAAAAAAATGGATAAAACATAAATAGATTAAAAATACTGTAAATGAAAACACATGAATGCTAAAAGGTTGACTCAATAAAAAATGACATTTTAAAAGGAATAAAAATCAATATAAATGAGTAATTTCTACGTGAAACTTAAGATTTTACTTATGACATATGTACTGTTTTATATTCAGTCATCAAATCAAAATATTTCTCTTAAAATGTATAAGATTATTTTTGTTAAGTCACTATGTTTGATGGATTGGTTTTCGGGAAATAAGCCATGGAGTGAACTGATTTTTAGTGATTTTTCCCTGCTTATTTGCCACCAGCAAATTTCCCAAACTCCCAACTTCTCCAATTTCCATAACTTCTTCTGTGAAATTGAAGTTTCTCTTCCCCCTGAGATGATCAGCAGTCTTCTTAAGTGATAGTCATTTATTCTTTTATAACTGAGGTTTCTTAAGCTGCTCTGGCTTGACCTTTTCTTCCCGCCTAGACCTGGCCCATATCTGCTCTTAGGTGTCTCAGAAATTCTTCAAATTCAGTGTTTCCAAGACTGAATGTAGGTATATTCTTCTCTTCTGGTCCCTGCCATCCCAACTCTTCAAAGTCGTTCTTCTTTAGAATTTTTTTTTTTTTTTTTTTTGACAGAGTCTCGCTTTATTGCCCAGGCTGGAGTACATTGGTACCGTCTCAACTCATTGCAACCTCTACCTCTGAGTTCAAGAGATTCTCCTGCCTCAGCCTCTTGAGTAGCTGGGACTACAGGCACCTGCAAACATGCCCGGCTAATTTTTCTATTTTTAGTAGAGATGGGATTTCACCATATTGGTCAGGCTTGTCTCAAACTCCTGACCTCAAAGGATCCACCCATCTTGGCCTCTCAAGTTCTGGGAATACAGGCCTGAGTCATAGGATTCTCTTTTTAGGATATGGCCACCATCCTTCCAGTAGCATAAGCCAGAAACAAGGAATCAACCTCTCACTAGTTATTCTAGATGTTTTCAAATGTCCATTCATTTCCATTACCCTGCTTCTAGTCCAAGGTACCATTATCTTTTGTTGAAACTCCTATTATAGTCTATTGTCTACATTTTGGAATTGTGAACATTACATTTTTAAACTTAAAAGCTTAGAACAAAGGCTGTCACCTAGTAAGCATTCACTACATGTATGAATGGACATTGTATTAGTCCATTTTCACGTTGCTGATAAAGACATACCCAAGACTGGGCAATTTACAAAGAAAATAATTTTAATGGAGAACTTACAGTTCTATGTGGTTGGGGAAGCCTCACAATCATGGCAGAAGGGAAGAAGGAGCAAGTTACATCTTACATGGATGGCAACAGGCAAAAAGAGAGAGCTTGTGTGGGAAAATTCCCATTTTTAAAACCATCAGATCTCGTGAGACCTAGTCACTATCACGAGAACAGCACAGGAAACACACACTCCTATGATTCAATCATCTCCCACTGGGTACCTCCCACAACACGTGGGAATCATGGGAGCTACAAGATGAGATTTGAGTGGGGACACAGAGCCAAACCATATCAGACATTTAATTAAAGTAGTATATTCTTTGGTCTTCTTTTATCCTCATTTAAGATTTTATTTTAAGAAATTTAAAATATATTTCTAAAATACAGATTATATTGCCCTACTCTTTGAAACCTTTCAATAGCTCCCTATTACTCCCAAAGACCTAAATTCATTATATGACCCAGATGGTTGTGCAAGCTTTGGCTTCTGAACACCTTTCCATGTTCCTGGGACACCTTTCTCCCTCTCTGGGCTCCAGCCACTGACTGTAAGGCCCTGGAATGTGCTCTGCCCCTGTTTGGCCCAGAGCTTTGTTTGTATACCTTCTAGTGCGTCCCTTCTCCTGCCTATCCCAGCACGCTGTGCCTCTTTTTCCCTCTTGCTTTTCTTCCTTTATTAAAAATAGACTTTGCTTTTTAGAGCAGCTTTAGGTTCACAGCATAATTGAGCAGAAACTACAGACAATTCCCATATATTCCCTGCCCCCATATATTCACAGCCTCTCTCACTCTTGCCTTCCTTTTAGCCTCCCATGCTAGATCTGTTTCTTTTATTAGCTCTAATAAATAAATATATTAATATTTATTTATTATTAATAGAATAATAAATATATTATTAGTTATATATAAGAGAACCATATTCTCTTCCTTCACACATTACCTTGAGATTATAATTTTTTATTGTGATTATCTGTAGCTTGTTGTCTTCTCTTCATAAAGCATAGAATCCATGAGGTCAAGGACTGTATTGACTTTTTTTCCCTGAGATCTAATCAAGTGTCCATCATATAGAAGGTCTTCAATACACATTCATCATTGTGGTTGAATGACATATATCATATAATCCTACATAGTTTCTGGGTAAAACATATCTCTATGTAATTACCATTACAACACTTCAAAGATCTAAAATAAAAATTAACCATAATTTTGCTATTTGTTTCTGTCTCAGGCGAATTTAGCATTTCACATTTATAACTATTCTGGTCCTGTAGCTCTTAAAACTTAACCACAGATATTGTATTAAGTATACACACACCGATGGAAGTAAAATTATTCTGTTCCGTGTTAAATATAATAATTTACTTCTATTTTTACTCTTTCTTATGTCTGTTTTCAAACCTGAAGTGTTTGATTTCCTTCTGCAAAAATTTGCTTACCTTATCTGAGAGGCACATACCACCACAAGGGGGCAGAGATAGACAAATATTCAGTTCTTTCGACTGCATTCTGTATCCTGAGAATATTCTTTGACAGAATAAATTTGAGCCATTATTTTTTCCATGAGTCTCGTTTTTCATTTGCCTTTCAATTTGAAATCTATAAGTACTATTATCCTCTTCATACAGTGTATGCGTTTTAAAAGATGAACAGACCTCTACTATATAAATTGTAGGCATTATATAACTTAACACTTCAGTACATTAAGTAATTTTGCAGTTATAAGAATGATATGCTAGACATTGCAGTAAATTGTTCACTGGTAATTTCATAGCTAGTTTCTACTGTCTTATCTTTAGCCTACACACACATACACACATGTACACACACACATACATAGATATGTTGGTGGGGGGGAAAGAGATTTTATTTTATTTTTGCATAATCATTCAGGGAATATTTAGGTATTTATGTCACAGAAACTAGAAATTAAACATTTGGAGAGAACAGGATTTTATTGTACAGTTTTATTATTCTATCCTTTGTGCACTAAATACATATTCATCTTTACTTTGAGTAAGAAAAGCACATGCTGAGCTATAAGTATCTATCTTAACATAGTTCTCATAAACAGCTTGGGTAGGACTTTATGTCAGCAATCTAATTACATAACTGACCTTGTTTTATTGGTTATTCTGAAATTTAGTTCTCCGTAAATATAGAGCCCATCCAATTTAGAGTTGAATTTTAAGAATGTTAACTTTAATGATAATGAGATAATTTATGTGTGAACAGATGCCTTGGTTAGAAGGAAGTTTAGAGAAGAAAGAGAGCTTTTTATTACAGAAAAACCAGTAGCAGAAAGAATGTGACTTTGATTCAGATTGGGAATCACCAAAGTTTGGTAACCACATGATAATTTCAGAGACAAATCATCTGAACTTGATGCCGGGTATTCAAGGTCATCCATAGTCTGGGCCCACACATCCTCGCTGGCCCTTTTCTCATATCTCCACCCACCCGGCATTTCATTCACCTGGACCACTTGCCTTTTGAGGAACAAGTCATACTTTTCCATGCTTCTATGTCTTGGCCCTTGCCTGCTTTCCTAATCTGGAATTACACCTCTCCACATCACCTCCGAGTTTTCTCCCAAGTAATGCAAATAACTGAGCATATTTGTCATACTCTAATTTCTTGAGCTCATGGAAAGATATTGCTAGTAGACCACAACACTTTCTCCAGTCTCACTTAAATGTAGCCTCAGTGCCCTTCTCAGTACAGCTTCTCAGAATAATTCAGACACCTACACCAATTAATTTGGTTTATGAGATATTTGCCATGTTGGTGACTTAGCCCAAATTGGTGGCTAGTTGAGTAAGACCAGGATTGGGTGTCTTTGGAGAATGTAATTTTGACTTGAATATGGTGATGCTTGTAGAACAGTGTTCCTTCCTCTGAACATGGCTACAGAAGAACAAATCAGTTAGTCTGAAGGTAAGAAAATAAAACAATTTAAAATGTCATATAATTTTATTCATCTAAGTCGAACTGAGCTATTATATTCATCCATAAGCACCACAGAAGAAGGGTCATGTTTATTTTGTTTATCACCATATCCCCAGCATTTAGCCAAGGGTCTGGAACATATCAGGTACTCAATAATATTTGCTGATTGAATGAACTAATAGTGAATAATGGCAAATATTATATTTCATGCCAGACCATCTTCTCCATTTAATGGGGTAGATTTGCACTCTAAGCTGGTGACTGCTCTGGAGAAAGGGTTCCCAGAGAAGTAGAAGGGAAAGTTTTTTTTGAAGGTCAGAACATGACCTTTTGGAGGTAGCAACAGAAAGATACCAGCAGTAAAGTTGGGAAACCTGTGAGTGCTTTGTCTAGTCTGCTTCACTTCAAAGTATCAAAGAATCATATAATTTAAAGAGTTTGGAACAAAGATTTATTCTGAGTCAATATGGATTCTATTAAATTGTACCTAAAGTATTAGACATTGGCACTGTTCTGAGACCCAATCTTTGGGAAGATTTAGCTCACTCTTAAATTTTTGAGGGAAAATATTTGAAAATCTTCCAAGGACATTTAATGTGATTTACATTTCTAAAGGTCAGTTAAGTCCCAAGTTAATTCCTCTTATACACTAGTTTCCTAAACTGAGAATAGAAGATTGAAAACTGAAAATTTTGTTTTTCATATGACCACAGGAAGTATGAACAATTTTTAGTTTAAAAACCTGAGTTGTAGAAGCAGATGGCCTCTGGACCATTTGTCTCATTTAAAAAAATTCAACTTTTATTTTAGATACAAGGGGTACATGTGCAAGTTTGTTATGTGAGCATATTGCACTCATGTAGTGAGCATAGTACCCAATAGGTAGTTTTTCAACCCATGCCTCCCTCTGTCTCTCCCCTCTTTAGTAGTCCATCGTGTTTGTTATTCCCATGTTTATGTTCATATGCGCTCAATGTTTAGCTCTCATTTGTAAGTGAGAACATGTAGTATTTGGTTTTCTGTTCCTGCATTAGTTCGCTTAGAGTTATAGCCTTTAGCTCCATCCATGGTGCTGAAAAGGACATGATTTTGTTCCTTTTTATGGCTGCATAGTATTCCATAGTGTACATGTACCACATTGTCTTTATCCAGTCCACCATTGTTGGACACCTAGGTTGATTCTAAGTCTTTGCTATTGTAAATAGTGCATTAATGAACATATGAGTGCATGTGTCTTTTTGGCATAATGATCTATTTTACTTTGGGTATATCTCAGTAATGAGATTGCTGGGTCAAATGGTAGCTCTGTTTTAAGTTCTTTGAGAAATCTCTAAACTGCTTTCCACAATGGCTGAACTAATTTACAATCCCACCAATGGTATAAACATTCCCTTTTTCTCCACAAGCTCACTAGCATCTGTTGTTTTCTGACTTTTTGATAATAGATATTTTGACTGGTAGGAGATGGTAGTTCATTGTGGTTTTGATTTACACTTCTCTGATGATTAGTGATAATGAGCATTTTTTTCATATGTTTGTTGGCCACTTGTATGTCTTCTTTTGAGAAGTGTCTGTTCAGGTTCTTCACCCATTTTTGAAAAATGGGGTTATTTGTTTTTTAAGTTCCTATAGATTCTGGATATTAGACTGTTGTTGGATGCATAGTTTGCAAATATTTTCTCCCATTCTGTAGGCTGTTTATTCTATTGATAGTTTATTTTCCTGTTCAGAATCTCATAAGTTTAATTGGATTCCACTTGTCAATTTTTGTTTGTATTGCTATTGCTTTTGGTAACTTAACCAAAAATTATTTGCCAAGACTGCTGTTCCAAAGGTATTTCCTAGGTTTTCTTCTAGGATTTTTATAGTTTGATGTCTTACACTTAAGTCTTTAACCATCTGTAGTTAATTTTTGTATATAGTAAAAGGTAAAGGTCCAGTTTCATTCTTCTATACATGAATAGTCAGTTATTTCATCACTATTGAATAAGGAGGACTTTTCCCATTGTTTGTTTTTGTTTGCTTCACTAAAGATCAGATGGTTGTGAGTGTATGGCTTTATTTCTCAGTTTTCTATTGTGTTCCATTGGTTTACATGCCTGTTTTTGTACCAATACCATGCTATTCTGGTTATTATATCATTATAATATAGTTTGAAGTCAAGTAGTGTGATGCCTCTGGCTTTGTACATTTTGCTTAGGATTACTTTGGCTATTGGGGCATTTTTTTTTGGTTTCATATGGATTTTAGAGTAGTTTTTTCTAATTCTATCAGGAATGACATTGGTAATTTGATAAGAATAGTGTTAAATCACTAAATCTCTCTCCAGTGTTGTTTTGTGCAGTATTACCATTTTAATGACATTGATTTTTTTCAATCTATGAGCATGGAATGCTTTTCCATTTGTTTGTATCATCTCTGATTTCTTTCAGCAGTGCTTTGTAGTTCTCGTTATAGAGATATTTCACTTCCTTGCTTAGCTGTATTCCTAAGTATTTTATTTTCTTTGTGGTTATTGTAAATGTGATCATGTTTTTGATTTGACTTTCCACCTGAACATTATTGGTGTATAGATATGTTACATAGATTTTTGTACTCTGAATTGTACTAATATAATTTACCAGTTCGAGTAGCCTTTTGGCAGAATCTTTGGGGTTTTCTAGATATAGAATCATACCATCAATGAAGAGAGATAGTTGACTTTTTCTTTTCCTATTGAATGCCTTTTATTTCTCTCTCTTGCCTGATTGCTCTGGCTACAACTTCCTGTCTCATTTGTTAATACATTAAGGAAAAGGTAACTAAATACTTCAGAGAAAAGTAATATCATATATTAGCAAATTCCTTAGATTTTGTCTCTTCCAGAACTGTCAAACAGAACTTTTGCCATGATGACAATATTCTGTATTTGTTTTATCCAATATAATAGCCACTGGCCACACATGGCCACTGGGCACTGGAAATCTGACTAGTACAATAGAAGCACCAAAGTTTTAAATATTGTTTAAAATAAGTAATTAAAATTTATATTTAAATAACCACATGTTTTAGTGGCTACTGTATTAGAGTGCATGTCCAGAAAAATATATGCTTAATTAAAATTAAAAATAAATTTTAGAAGTAAAATTTAAAAAACTAAAATTATAATTTTTGAGATAAGCTATTGATAATGTCAACAAATAAGACATCAGACTGAAAGCGGAAAAAGAAACTCAAGAATTGTAGTATGGGAATTTTAAAAAGCAGCAGGCTTAGCACTTACCATGTGTTAGACCCTGTGCTAGACCCATTCACATTTATCATCTCAGTGAATGCTCATAACAACTCTGCAAGTAAATATTTTATCTCCACTTTATAGGCAAGAAGTCAGATATTACAATTTCCTCACTGAAAAAACTTAAACCCATCTGGTTTCAAAAGCCAGACTGTACAATTTGAGTGAGCAGAAGAAAAATATTCAGATATAATTATGAATGTGCATCTTATGAGAGGTGAGGTCAGGCCTGGAATGAGTGTCACATCCAAATATTGCTCAGAAATTTCTTAAAGTCCTCATTGCTGAGTCTAGGCTTGGTATCTGATGATGTAACAGTCCTGAAGCTGAAGGTGGGCTCAGGTGGTCCAAATTGGGTAGAAGAAGGTAAGGCTGGGGACCAGCCAACTGAAAGAGAGCACCGATGTTCTGGGTGACCATCACTCTTGTAGAACATTGCCTTTCAGGTACCTGAGCAACAATTGCTAGCCTTGCTGTTTTCATTAGAGGTGCTGACTTATGACAGCATTCTCAGCTATAATTTTATGGTTGAGTACTTTGATGCTATTTTTCTCTCCAGTAATGCTCTGTGACCTGATTTTCTTCTCATTTGTCAGATAGCTTATGTGATGTGGCTTTCACTTGGTAATTGCAATTCGGGGGCATTTCCCTGCAGTAATGTGTCAAGAAACAGCTTCTGTAACACCAGAAAGCATGCTTCCTTATCATGAGAAGAGTGGAGATGTGCCTCCATGTGTTGACTGTGTCATTAAATCTAATGCTTCTGGATGCATATGTCTAGCTGAGCACCTAAATAACGTGTATTCTACATCCTTAGAATAAAAGGGTATCAGCATTTTTCCTGCTGGTCTTTGTAATTCATGCCACAAAAGAATGATACTTTGCTACCTCAACTATTAAATGAAGGCGTCTGCTTAAAGAAGACTGAATATCTTGGTTTAAGAACTTGACTTTCCCAATGATTGAAATGAATTCGATAGGAATGATGGCCCGGGTATCTATAGTGGGCTAGTCTTGTGTCTTTTAGAACTAGAAATACAATACCAGAACTCTTTGATAAAGATTCGGATTCTGAGATGAAGCAATCTGATCCAGGCAGTTTAGGACTGGGGCTAAGTCTCATTTAAAAATGGGGCCATGAGTGGTCAGAGGTATCTGTGGAAGCCAAATATGAGTCTGTTGCAAGATGGGGAATCCTTTAACAGATTAACAGTCCATGGAATTAGTGGTCTAGGAGGCAGCAGGCTAGCCAGAAATGGGATATGAAAGGGATTTCTGAAGTGCAGATAAAATCGTGCTTCAATCTTCACAATCTTCAGGGCCAAAGTAGGAGGGGAGCTGGAGAAGGAACACAGAATCAGAAACAAGATTGTTACAAGGTGGTTAGGGAGCAAATTGCTTGAATTGCAGCCCGCTTACATTTGAGCAAATGTGCTTACTGGAGCTGGGGGCTTGTTCTTAAAAGAGCCAGTTCCGTAGGACAGGTAACTTGCCAAAGTCCAGATCGACTTCAGCGCCGGGAGGTATAAATACATTTTGCAAAATCCAAATGTTCAAGCTGAAAGAGAGCCCAGTTCCTAAGAAATGATTTTTTAATTTGATATTCTTAAGTATCAACCGTATATTAGACAATATGTAGCCTTAGAGAGTTGCATGAAATTTCTGTAAGCACCATACAATTGCTGGATGTCTCCTGCAAAAATAAGAAGAAATTCAGCCGAAAACCTTTTTCTCTTCCTCTTTCCCCTTTATAAAGAAGGCTAATAGATCTCTCATTTTTCAAAATGTATCTCAGCTTCGGAATGGAGAAGTGGAAATGTGTTTTTTCTATTTGAAAGGAAGGTTATCTAAACACTGTAGTGTGTGATTCTGTTACAGCTTGCTTGATTTACACTCTGAGTGTACCTAAAACTCTCAATTCTACTTCACATGTGGTAAAAGGTCAAATTCAGTCTTGTTCTACCTTCCAAACATTTACACTCCCTGTCCACCTTATAGGGGAAGACAGACTATTATTAGCCTGTGGAAAAGGCATACTGGGATTCATGTCATATAGAGAGAATATTTATTTTTCTCTTATTTTGCCAAGCCGATGGTGGTGGTGTCTGCAGTACACAGCTGACATGGAGCTGAAACTAGATGTGGTCCTGTGATAGGCAGGACAAGAAGCAGAAAGGCTGCTCTTCTGCTGGCCATAAATATCAGCTCACATTTCTCTTTCTCCTTCTCTATAAAGTTCTTTATACATGTATACAGGCCTGTCAACATATGCAAAGACATGTCAAACACATTAATGGATTGTGAGTTAATTCAAATCCAGTCGTTCTTTCAATATACGTAAATGTTGGGCACATTATTTGAGCAAGTGCTGCCCATATGAATTGTCTCTAGACATTCATTTATTGTTGTTTTTTTTTTTTCCCTGCTGTATTTTTCTGTTCCTTCTTAGTTTAAGCAGATAACTTTTGTTTTTTGCTTCAAAGACATTTGCAGAATGGAAGGTAGAAATTTTTTGAAAGCAACCTTTCTGCTTTTTCGAAAAGACTATACTCACTGCAAGTGGAGAAGCGAGAATAGGAATGTCATCTTCAGGGTCACCAAGGAAGATTGGAGAGGCCTCGGACTGGGGTGGGGGCAGAGACTGCTGGGCCCACAAGTAGAATAGCCCTGCCCTGTTTCCTTGGCAGCATCTTTGGGCAATGGTAACCTAGAAGTAACATCCAGAGAGGCTGCTCTCAAGCCATGGAATTCCCACTCCCAGAAAACATTCTCAGACTCCAAGCATAGAACAGAGCTGACAGGTGCTAGGAAAGAAAATGTGAGAATGGAAAATGGGCTTCTCTGAAGAAACCAGTGAGAACCACGAACAGGATGGACCTCTGTAGTGCAGTGCTTTAGGACAGAATAAGACATACCACTCAGATTGTTCATGGCACTAAGTAAATGGGAGGGGTGGAGCCCAGTAATCACTGGGATTAAAACTCTCTCCAGATTGGTGGGATTTAGATTTAAACTGATTAAGCAGGGATTAGATTTAAGTTAATTTTGAAAAAAAAAAAAAAAAAACAGTGCCTTATTTCTTGTACACCTGGATTGGTGGATTAAGTTTATCTGCTGTCATTATAGCAAGGAACACGAATATTAAACAAGTTATTACCGTTGTGAATTGACCTATGAAGGAATAATTGTGGGTATTTTGGAAGCAGAACTGTGGGGCCTAATTAAAAGTATATTTATGGGTAGGATGGATGGGGAGGAAATTATTCTCTGAATGAATAACATTTTAGCTGTTATCTATAGGATGAATTAAAGTTAGTTAGCTCAGTTAAAATTAAAGGGTGATCCAGGCAATGAACAGTGTGTGGAAATGTCCTGAGGTGGATAAGAGCTTGGGCTAGTCAGTGTGGCCAAGACATGAGAGCGAGGGGATAAATGGCTGGTGCAGAGGCAAAGAGGAGATAGGGTTCAGGTCACGCCGAGCCTACCAGCTCACGTTAAACAATGATCATAAGTGATGGAGAAAACCATGAAAGAATTTTAAGTAGGGAGTGAAATAAGATTTGAGATTTCCTAAGATTAACTTTGCTTGCAGTTTAGAGAATAAATTAGACAAGTGACAAAGAGGATTGGGAGGACGAGCTAGTAGGTCTTGTGATTATAATGGATTGAACAAGCTTGTGGCAGGAAGGATGGTGAGAAGAGATTTTGGACAATCACATCAATGGACCCTGATGATTAATGTTGTGGTGAGGGGTGTGAGATAGAGAGGGAAAAGTGAGGATGCTTTATAAACTTCTTGCATAAGCAATAAGATAGAGGAAGTGAAATTATGGATCAAGAAACACTAGTGGAAGAACACATTTTGGGTTTGGTTTTGACCACAATGAGCTTGATCTGCTTGGGAGACATTTAAGCTTTTACATGTATGTTGTGAGAGCTACACTATTGGACATAATAATAATAATTCATTTTTATACTAAAAGTACTTGTAAGGAGTACTGTGATACTAATAATTTAAAGGTAGATGATTTTATTTCATTAGATATATTAAAAAGACATTTTAAAAAGGAATTAAAATGGACATGAACCGATATTTTTGACAAAGTTAACAACTTTGACCTAGAAACTGGCCAAAGGTAAATGTTGACGTGAATAAAATTTCTTCTAATTTCCAGATGAAAACAAGAAGCTGTTGGAAGACACATTCTGAACTGGCTAGCACAACACTCTGAAACTGGAGGATATCAACTGATAAGATATTAAGTTCTCCCTTAGTTTCAAATACACTGGGTTCATAAATTATTAACATAAACAATGGATGTTCCATCAAGTTACCGTGAAGACAGCTGGGTCTGCACACCTCCACAAGTGTCGACCCCTCCAAGCACATCCTCCACCTGGAACTGTGAACTGAATGGATATATGTTGGTCAGAAAGGTCTTTACATCTTTGAATTGTAATGATCATGATTAGTTGCTGAGTTTGCCACCTCCCTACCTCCCTGCCTTCTACCTTCCAAGAATTATCATTATAAAAATAGCCATTTGGTTTATGGCATAAGCTTTATCACAAAGCTTGACCCAGACTGAAGAATCCAGGAAATTTCTAGCCAGCCTTTTTCATGTGCAGGATTATGGTAGAGGCTTAGCATTTATCAAACTATAGCTTTTCCCCAAAGGAAAGGGGAACGGGAATAGACTAGCTGCTTCAGTAGGCAAAACAGGTAGATAACAAATAAGAGATTATTGGCAGTTTATCAGGGTCTCTTTGCTAAAACTCCTTGTCAAATGGCTAAGGAAAGACATTGAGAGGAGGCAGGTGTGGGTGCCTTGAGAGCCCGTGAGATCTGTGCTCTTGAAGCATTTTGTACTTTTCTTAACGATGCTTATCTTACTCTACCTTGTAGTATAATTAAAAGGCAAGTTTTCTTCTTCTGAGGTGGCAAGTATAAATTTCAAATAGCAGACAGAAAAGAGTTAAAGGGCTTCTATGTGCCTATCCCAGCCAGCAGCATTTTGTCACGATCTGATTGCAAGGCTGGTTGCAACAGTTGGGAAGCATTTGGCCAGGGGGACAGTTCAAAATGGAAACAAGAAAAGAGTATAGAGAAGGAAGCCTATTGTTCCCAGCAGTATGGTCTTCTTTATGGCCTTGGGCCTGGCAGCTCTTCTTTCCAATATAACACCAGTGGAGCAAAAGGCCTCAAATTGGGGGTAATGGGTAATAAAGTTCAGTCAGGGGGCAGTTCAGATCTGTCAGGATGCAAATGTGTAACAAGCTTTGTGATCCAGAAAGTGATGCAGAGACTAGACTGCTTCATAAGTATTGTCAGGAATGTTCTGGACGAACAATGTGCTGGTGACAATGGGAGCCATAGATTAGATAACTTGGTTGGGTATATCTACTCCATGGATTGTTGTGAGGATGGACTGAGACAGTATGCCTGGGATGGTTGGTTCATTGTAAATGCTCAGTAAGTGTTAGCTGTTACCATGATAAGTCAGGCTCATTACCAGGGCCAGAGATGAGATATATCCGGCAAGATAATTTAAACTAGCTGTATGTAGGACAGTACACATTTATTATGCTCAGGCACTTTCCTAGGCATTTTACATATCTACATATCTCCCTTCACTCCTCTATCAAGTATATGCAGCATTGTCAACATATCCACATACTAGAGGGAGAAATTACAGACTCAGAGAAGTTAAAATGATTTGCTCGAGGATACACAGCTTGTCAGTGCTGGAGCCAGCTTTAGAAGTCTTTCTGATTATGTGCTTTTTTCCAAGGGCTAGTGTTTTTTACAGTACTAAGAGATCTGTGTTAGAGAGAAATGAGTTAGAAGGAAGTGGTCTGAACTTTGGAACATAAGGAGAGAGAAATATAAAAATATAAGTGCAGGGGCCCCTCTTCAGTGCCCCTAGGACACTGTGTGCTTCCATAGCTCATTCCATACTGCGTTATACTTATGGATTTATTTGGATGGCCTTGTCTAGACTGTATACATCTCAAGAGTAAGGAGATAGCTTTCTATCCCCAGTGCCTTGTACAGTGCCTGGCACTTAGTGGGTGCTTATATATGTTGAATGAACTAATTTATTAAACCAAGCCCATAATTGTATGGTATAGCACGCAAACAAAACACGAGTTGAATTAATGACATTGCAGCAGAGATCTTTGTACAACAAAGTAGCCTGTACTATAAAAAAATTCAGTTTGGGTCAACCAGTTAAACAGAGTGATATACACAGTAACTTGAATGCAGATCCAATTATGCTCATCTTTGTAGTCCCCAAATTCTCAGAACAATTTTACATTGTAGACATTCACAATTTTTAAAATTCATTCATAAAACTAACTTAACAGTTTAAAATAATGTATGATATTCATATCTTGGTAGGAATTAATATTTCCATAGTGGTTGAAATTTAACATCTTTAAATCTGAATATAGGAAATGTATATGCCATTTGTCATTTCAAGGTTCAAATTCACCTCAAAACCAAATCTAGGCTCTAGATAAAAAGTGAAAAATGGGAAAAAATTCTAGGCCAAATATTTAGATATTGGAGGAATATTTTGCATGATGCAGAAACAGCCTAAAGTATAATATTTTATTTTTAAACCTCAAGCTCAGTCCTACTATGAACATTACATCTACCTTTGCAAATGGGCACAGCCAGCTACCCAGCATTCCTCTGATAACCTCAATTAGTTTAGATTTGAAAATACAAATTGAAACAAGAAAGAAAGCACTTGAGATGCTGGGAAATGGTATTGATAATACTAAGACTCTGGTGCTTTTATTGTGCTGGTAAAAAATAATAATAGGGTCAAGCAATTGAAAGCTCATTGAGATGAAAACAACCAGGAGCGGGAAGGAGGAGACAGGGGTGAAGGAAGCTGGGAGGTTAGTATCAACTTCCATCTAATTTAGGATTTGGATTAAAAAGCAAAGAAGCTCAAACCTGCTTAAATCATGCTGCCATCTGTGGTTCTGATGTGGCATTTGGAAGAGTAAAAACACATGCTGGAAAATTACCAAGACAAAGAAAAATTCTGGAATCTCAGTACAGGATTTTCCTTTGTGGCTAAAAGGCTGAGTTGCTTTGGAAACATTTGGATTCCTTTTCTGCCTCATCTGTGCTGCAAAGGATCTCTTTTTAAGCTTAGATTTTGCCTTCTATATCAGAAGGAACCTCTGTGGATTAATCAGACATCATTTTCCAGGCTTGTAGAGAAGTTACATCATTAAGGAATATAAATACTGGTAGTCATTGATTATCTAACAAGGGAAATTTAAAAAGTCTTGTTTAAGTGGTGTATTATTTAATGAGCTGTCAAGTGTTCTCTTTAGCCCCAGTTTCCATGGAAATTATTTAATTCCAAGAAAGAGTTCAAAGCATTGAGATAGACCGCATGTTTTCAGAGCATCTATGCAGAGAAGCAAAGCAAGAAAGATCTGCATCTTTGAATAGAACAACATTTTTTGTGTTACATGCACATCTTCATTTACACCTTAAAAAAGGTTTCCAGAAAGTTGGCTAAAAATGAAAGGCAATTTTAATTAAAAGACTAATTTTGTATTTTCTATATACATGATTCTATCATGAATCAAAGTGGACGTATTTTTTAGACATCAAAGGGAAATTATGTGGTCTGGGCACAGTGGCTCACGCCTGTAATCCCAGCACTTTAGGAGGCTGAGGCGGACGGATCACGAGGTCAGGAGATCGAGAGCATCCTGGCTAACACGGTGAAACCCTGCCTCTCCAAAAAAAAAAAAAAAAAAAAAAAAAATTAGCCGGGCGTGGTGGTGGGCACCTGTAGTCCCAGCTACCAGGGAGGCTGAGGCAGGAGAATGGCGTGAACCTGGGAGGCGCAGCTTGCAGTGAGCGGAGATCACGCAACTGCACTCCAGCCTGCGTGACAGAGGGAGACTCTGTCTCAAAAAAAAAAAAGGGAAATTATGTGATGCAAAAATATAATGCAATACTAATTTCTGTGAACTCCCTGGATTATAAGAAGAGTTTCTTTCAATTCAAAGGAGTTAAAAAAAATTCTTTCTGGACCAGGCTAGTGGCTGCAGGTATGGTTTAGAATGTGACAGATATCAAGGAAAGTATAATGCCCTCAACTCACAAACAGTTTAATACCTTTCCTGTGCCACCTGCAATCAATGTTTACTATATTCAATATCACCCCATTTAGTTACCATCTCTCAATGGCAGCAGTGCTGAGCCTCTTGGTGAGGGAAAATAAGTTGGACTTCAGAGTCAGAAGTGCTGGGTTCCATAACTGACATTGTTTCTTATTAGTTAGGATGTGGTTGGTAAGTTACTAAATATCTCCAAACCTCAGTTTTCTCATTTGTAGAACAAGAACAGCATTGGCTATCACAAAGTTGTAAAAATGAAATAAGATACTTAGCAATGCTAGCTCCATTCACTGTTTTCCAACAGATAGTTAAACATACTATCCTTTACAAAATAGCACTGTCATAATACAAAGACCTCTTTATATTTGTTGCCCAAATGAAATCAAATTCTATTTTCCCTCTTTTTATTCTTTTCAGTAACAGCACACCGATTTTCTTTTGGGGGATAACTGCCTACTGTTATCATTTGAGGTGGATCCAGGCCTAAGAACACTGCGTAGTTCCCCTGGCCACAGTGTTTGGTGCAGGTGACCCAATTTGGTCTTTCAGCTGGGACTGCAGGCAGGCAGAACGGTGTAGGCCTAGAGTCTTTCTCCTCTGAGGAGCCTGACCATGAAGCCCATGGAGGAAAGAAAAGCTAAAACATCATGGGTCTTGACTTTTTGTGAGCTCTTGGAGCCTGCATGTGCAAAGTTAAGTCCATTATGTTCTGGACTTTTCATTATATGAGCCAAGAAATTACCTTTTTTGCTTTAGCAAGTTTGAATTGGTTTCTAACATTTCCAATGGGAAGGTTTTTGATTAACACTTCCAAAGATGTAGATCAACTTGGGGGTTGGGGTAAAATTTAAATCTGGGGTAAGATTGGTTTTTATTTGCAACCTTTTAATGTAGATGTTTCATGCATTGTGTTATTTCTTTAATGCATTTAGGGCAAAATAATCTAGGCTATTATCTTATTTTTGTATTGGAGTTACAATCGAAGAAGCACGGTAGGGTCTTGCATCATGAGGATAGAAACAGTACAGAAATTTTATCTGAAGCATGTACAGAATAATTCTGCATCTACGGCAGAAGAAAGCACATTAGCTGTGTGGGTGTGGCATGAATTAGAATGTGACGACTGTGTAATTCCATCATGAACTTGCTGAACAATTCTGGCAGTCCATATTGGAAATTTCCCTCCCAGACTGGCAGGGGTAGACAGAGGTAAAGAGGGTATATCACAGTAGAATCGGGACAACAAATTAGTGTAATTTGTTATCCTATGGGTTCTATAATACAAATTAATAACGTGGAAACACTTAAATTTATTCTTGTGAGATAGTGACCTCTTGAAGGATAGAAGACAACTGGAGAAACATCCT